TGCTACTGGCAGGGCAGAGTTTAACCACCTTCTGTAAAGTTCACCTGATGAACACTTGAATGGTTGCATTAGATATTATTTCATTAACCTAATGGAGTAGACATCATTCACTATCCTCCCTATCTGTATTCTAAAAATACCAAATTTCTTCTTCTTGTGCTCACAAAATACTAGGATCTCCATACGTCTGTGACCATTGTTTATATCCTGTTTCATTAATGCATAGCACAGTGCATGAGGAATACCAAACACCTAACAAATATGGATTGAAGGAAGAAAATGAATGTATGTGTTAACACATAAATAATAAATGAATGAATAAGGCAATTGAATAACTCCTCTTGTGTTTTCTTCTCTACTGTTCAAATCTCTGTCCTCTCTCTCTACTGGTTACTTCTGTTCAAATTTTTCTCATCCTAAATCAAACTGCCTCTGTGCGTTAAGCAACTGACATATACATCTTCCAGTCACCTAATTTTTAAAAGGTATAGTCTAACCTTACTGCTCCTACTTACTTTCTGTTTATTCCTTAATCACTGCAGCTCTTGCTTTCCCTACTCCAATGAAATGACAATTGTGAAAAAATTCAGAACATCTTAATTACTGAGTTCCATGATCATCACTGCATCCACTTTCAAACAAATTTTATACTTCATTTGACCTTGTTTAATACTTGGTCATTATTAAAACTGTATTCTAGTGGCTTTTTAGAAAGTGCTTTTTCCTGGATCTCATATATTTCTTTTTCCTCTTTTATACTCTCTCCCTGAATCATCTTAACAATTTCTAAGATTTCTGTAATTATCTGGCTACACATGGTGAGCATATCACTATATCTATCCAGGCTCATCTCTCTTCTGATTTCAGACATGTATTTATTAACACATTACTTGATAGCTCCATTTATGATGCCACAGGTTGCTAAAACTCAGTATCTAACCAAATTCTCTATCACCTATCTACTTTTACAAATCCCAGAATGCGACCTCTCTTGAAAATACTGCTTTTACTACATTACACACTTTGTGTTGGCATCACTATTAATCTAGAATAGAAACTTTAGAGTCAGCTTTGATTCCTCTCTTTTCTTCATCCCTCACATTTAATTTTCATCCTTTTACTGTGGCTTCTTCTTATCTAGTTCATCACACCTGCTTCAGTATTCTTCCTAGAACAAAGGTCCAATAACATCTTTTGTTTTTTAAAAGCCTTTGGTAACATGGCTTTAACATGTCCTACTGTACTAGTTAGGGTTCTCTGAAGAAGTAGAACCAATAGGATGTGTACACACACACACACACACACACACACACACGTATAGAGAGGGAGAAATATTTGTTTTAATGAATTGGTTCATGCAGTTGCGAAAGCTAGCAAGTATAAAATTTGCAGGACAGGCCAGCAGGCTGAAGACCCAGGAAAAGTTGTAGTTTGACTATGAAGGCAGAATTCCCTCTTCCACCTTGAAGGTCAGACTTTTTTTCAATTAAGGCCGTCAACTTATTGGATGAAGCCCAGTCACATTATGAAGGATAATCTGATTTACCATAAGTCTACTGATTTGATGTTAATTTCATGTAAAAAAATACCTGTACAGAAACACCTAAAATGCTTGTCCAAATATCTGGGTACCCTGGGCAAGCTAAATTGATGCTTAGAATTAGCCTTCACACCTATTCATAATTTTGAGAACTATTTACACACACACACACACACACACACACACACTGTAAGTGTTGATTAGACTGAGCAGGCTATTTATATTTGTGTGCTCATTATCCACTTTATTTTTTCAAGCCCTTATGCTGTACCTTATATATTTTAAGAAATCATTATCTATTTGCTGGTTAACTGACTGAATGGAAAGAATAAATGAAACAGAGAAACAGAAGAAACACATGAAGGGAAGGAAGGGTTCAGGAATGTTGGTCACACAACATGAAGTGTCTTTCTTTCTTACTACTTTTTCAGCTTCATGAACCTATTCAAGATTGAAATCATAGATCACTTTCTGCATGTCAAATTCTTTGAGCTCACTCTTTTCTCATGTTTCTTTTGTACAAAATGTCTGCACCATATTACATATATTGAATTATTTGTTAGATGCCTCTACAAGATGATTTGAATGATACCAGCACCTACTTTTGTCCTTTCGCTATTCTGGGACCTCATTCTTCTCATTTTATCTCTTTTACTACTTCCCCCACTTCTCACTCTTTTTCTTTTTCTCTCCCCTGTCATCTTTCAGCCCCATGTGTCATATTTAATAGCAATAACCTCTATAATCCAAAGGGAACCAACTAGACATATGATATCCCTCTATAAGGGTGGCTTTAATTCCAAAGAGAAAGTGAAGTGCTGATATTTTCTATTCTTAATGATTAAGATTAAAGGTACTTTCAGGTATGCTTAGGATGACCAATTTTTATCACTGAAGTACATTTTAGGTTGGGCTTTCCATTGAACAGAGAGGTTTTAATATTTGTTTACTAACCTTCCAATAATTGGGTAAAGCCAAAAACCCTCCTGGGAAACACAGTCAAGTTTTACATTAAATTTCTGGGGGTTCAAAAAGTCCTCAGTGTTCATACACCCTATACTGTGTTATTCTTAATTCCCAGGTTCTACAGATCTATATGTAAACTTATTCAGATCTTTCTTGTAAGAATGGGAGATGATATGAAAATGTGTTTTTTCCTTGTTCTTCAGAAACGTGCACATATTTAAAGTTTGGTACAACATCTCTGGAAGCTGGTGTCCTTAAGGCTTATTTTTTTCTGGGAGATGGCTACCTATGCTTTCATCCTGTAGGCATGAATTAATTATAAGAATATACTCTATCTGCTACAAATTGCTAGCACCATAATTTTTCTTGAGAAGCAAGAAGAAATACAGGTTAGCAGGGCATCTTCTTTTAAAAATAGAGGTTGCAAACCTATCTGACTTCTGGAAAGTGTGAGATTTTCTCTTTCTCTCTGTAACATTCTTTCTGTAAAATGCCATCCTCTTGGTCCTGGGTAAACACTCTGAATTAGGTTCATACTAGGCTACCTGGACACTCAGCTCATGTATAAAGCACCAAATACTAACTTATTTGGGTAGAATTACTAGCAGGAGTCTCTGCTATGAGCAGATAGTGTGTTGATGCTGGTGGACCAAAATGTTTGATTTGGGGTAGATAAAATGGGGAAAAAGTGCCTGTTTAATATATGTTTTTTGATATGCATAAATCTCATCATGGGCTGTTCAGATATTTGGATAAGCATTCCTGTATATCAGCAATCAGATGGAATTAAAAAGCAGCTGTTCTCATTGTACCTGGCATGTGCACCATAATTTGCTTCAGACTCCACCACTCTCTGTTGCCCTCAATCCATAAGAAATGTTATTTGCCATTGATGATCACAGATACCTCTTCTTTTTCTTTAGTATAGTAGAGAGATAATTTCCAATACCCAGGTATATGTCAAAAATGGCATCATGAAATTCAGAAAAACCCTATATATTGTGATATATTTCTTGGGAAAACTGAAAATTTTCTCTTATTTAATATGCAAACAGAATGCATCTTTGTCAGGTTTATTATCATTTATTTTATATACAGTTTACTTCACTCACTAATGTTATCTTTCTCTGCCTGTATTGGCTGCAACTTACCACTTTTTCCTAGGGTCCTCTTCACTTCTTAACCTTCAGCATCCTAAAAGTGCTGCTAAATAGATTTTAGTAGTTGTTATAGTCATACTATATTTCAGTATTTAAAAATCGATGATTTTACTTTTTTTTGTAAAATATTAACAAAACAAACTGATGAAGTGAAATTATCTATATGGTTATTTGCAAGTATTTACATAGTAAAATCAGTTAAAGATCCTGGAGCGATTATTGGCTTCAACCTATTGCCTTCACACAGATTTAGCAAACAGAAATAATAACAACAGCAATAGCAACACAACAGCATTTCTTTGGATTCTTTTATGGATTACAAAATACCCTTACGTGCATTTTATGTAACACGAAGTCCAGAAATGCTGATGTAACATATTTCCTCTGTCTTAAAATAATTTTAAATAAAGAGCATCTAGCAAGGAAAAAGTTCTCCCCAAGATTACTACTGGAAGGCTGGACATTATAGAAATGGGCCATATCTGCTGCGCTGCCCAGGGAGGCATCGGCAGCTGCTTCCATTTGTAACAGCATTTTGTTCCTGACAGAATGTGAGAATGAAAGTCAGTGCCATGAAGTTCTAATGTTGAAGTGGCCATGTGACCACACTACTTTCTTTTGCGCTGTCAGACTCGCAGACATTGCTGTGGGGAGTGTGTGTGATGTCTTATGTGGACAGTAGCCATCTCTACTACATTTTCAATTTTCTTGGCATCAGAACTATGCATTTACGAGCGAGTACTTCCTACAAGGAACAAATATGAGAATTTTATTTATTTATGTAAACATAGATAGATACATACATACATAGATACATACATATGTACATAGATACATACATACATAGATATATAAACAAATAAATCTATGAGGTTAAGCCCTTGCCATAAGTAAAACTCCTGTTTAACACTATAAATTAAAGAAGTATAAGGAGGAAGTTTCCTGAAAACAAAAGATACATAGTTCTGTGTATTTTATATACTGAAGGATTTCCATGTGTTTATAGAAGTAATTTAGTGACAAATATTTTGGTTCTTTTTGGTGAGTATTATGCTTTTCATTGAAACGATGATTGTTGCTAATAATTATTTGACTTCGCATATTTGTGCCTTTTGTGCACTTTCCAGAGACTAAAGTCATTCTTCAACAATTCTGCTGTACAGTGCTCAGCTACATATACCTCAATTAGACATGATCTGTCCAGATTTAGGAATTATATTTCAATGCAGGATTTGAATTGTAATTATCCATCATGGTAGAAAAATAATAGTTCTAATCAACCTGTCTTTATCACCACTTTCATCATAATTTTAACGTCTCTGTTTTTATATAAGGTTGCCATTGCCACCTGGGGCTTTTTCAGGACTCTGGAAGAATCAGGAAGCATTCAAGCATTTATACTTTGAAAAATTTCCCGTAAGAACTTTAATATGCTTTTTTAATTTTTAAATGTGCTTTTCTATAATTCTTGTCTATTAAGTTGAGAAATTTGCTCCTAGAATCATAGATCAAAAAGAAACTTTTAAAGGTTATCTGGACTAGTTTCCAGCTCTCAAGGATAAGAATGCCCAACTTACAATTATCTAAATAAATCATTTTTACACTTATTGTCAGTCTCTGGACATAGAAATTTCTTTGTTTTTCTTAACAGCTTTTCCTGGAATTTAATAGTCCTCAGTATCAGGAATGTTTTTGTTACATAAAAATGTTTTTTGGACTTTTTATATTGTTTCTTCCACTGGATTCCTCTGTGTACCAACAGATAAGAGAGCAACAAATCAGAATTATAGAATGTGATTAAGACTCCTTAACCTCTTTTTTTATTGGTTATATGAGCAAAATCCATTTAGCTGCCCCGAAGTCATATTTTTCCATTTCTTCATCTATTTTTGACAGCATTTCTCAAATGTTCTCTGAGTTCTTTATTTTAAAATCTCATTTTAAAAATACAGTTACAGGACAGAAACAGTGTACTGAAGCCCCACACCCAGTGTTCTGGATAACAAAAAGCGCCTTCCTGTTTCACATTCTGTCATTGTGTGAAACTTTGTACTCCATGGCAATGTGTGTTATGTTTATAACAGCATTTCATGATAAACACATCAGGGTCTGCTCACATCATCTTTCTGTTGTCCCTCTACTGCCCCCACAACAGGGACACCTCATCTTCATTTTTCACTAAGTAAAATTCTGAATGATTTTGACTAAAATGAGAATACTGGGTAATAGCTCAGTATTAGATATTCTGATGAGAATACTGAGTCTCAGAAATCTAAGAAACACAATAGTGGCTTTCCAGGATTTGTACTAAAGTCCATGCTCATAAACATAGGTATAACTCAGAAGCATTAGGAAAAAATATTTTTTCTACTTATTTTTCTTCATTGTTCTTATTCTGTGATTTCTAGACCAGCAAAAATGTTCTGAGTGACTAAAAATTAAATTTCATACTTACTATTAAATTTTAAAAATTCCAATCATTCAGAATTTTTACTAAAAAAGTTTGCCAAAGTATTTAGCATTTTATCTTTATTATTTGTTAGTGAAGGACAGATAACCTAATCAACTGGACAAATGACAAGAATTAAAATAGCTTTCTTTAGAAAGAAATGGCAGCATTGAATGACCTTAATAGCTAAGATTTAACATCCCCTGATAGAGTGTGGCAGGGATAATTTGTCAGTATAGTTAACTCTAGTAAGCCCAATCTATCCACCTGACAGGGCAACAGTTAAATCATCAGAGAGCAGGTGGTAGATATGATTGATTATAGCCTGACAATGGCAAATGATATGTGCATGTGGTTTTAACATGATCACCTTTAACACCAAAATCTCCCTCAAAGCCCCTGTTTATGGCTAAACTATGTGAAGTGACTCTGTACTCTGTTTACCTGATCTCAAACCTCTTATTTGAGAAATTAATAACAGTAGCACAGAAGGGTTGAGTAACTTCCCTTGAGTTCACATAGGTGAGAAGTGAGGGAACTGAGACTTGAAACAGAAGAGTTGGGCTCGGGAGTTCATGCCCTAAACTGCTACTCTAGTGTGCCTATCTAATATTAATAAAAGTATTAATTGCAATAAAATTATTGAGAGCTCATGATGTATCCAAGTCTGTCCTCTTTCATTTTTATACACTGTTTCATGTATGTTTCACAGAAACCTTATAAGGCAGAGCTCATTATTCCCTTTAATGGATGAGAATACTGAGTTTCAGAAAGTCTGAGAAATACAATAGTGGCTTTCCAGGATTTGCACTAAAGTCCACGCTCATAAACATAAGTTCAAAATAACTAAGAAGCACTAGGAAAAATATTTTTTCTACTTTTTATTCTTCATTATTCTTATTCTACTGTGATTTCTAGACCAGCAAAAAAGTTCTTTGAGTGACTAAAAATTAAATTTTGTACTCACTATTAAATTTCACTGAAGTTTGAGTCCAATCTTAACCCATATTAATAAACTAGTGCTGTATTGTGAAATTATTCATTGGGAGCTTTAAAGCTGTTAAAAAGTAATACCATTAAAGAAGAAATGTATCAAAGAATTACTTTGCAATACCAAAGTATATTAGAATTAGTATTGAGCTATTACTCCTCTATTAAAAAAAAGAAATTGGGATCATAAACTTTACAAATCTATATTCAAACACTTAAAACATCTCTAAAAACAGTTTAACTTATTCTTGGCTATTAGAGGAGCAAAGAGTTTCTAGTGCACTTCCCAGATAACAAGTAGTTTAATTTCCTAGTCTGATTATGAAAAAAGGCAAATGTTCACAGCAAATCCATTTCATTACACTGTATATTTTACCAAGTTTAAAATGATTACATTATTTAATGGTACACACTAATCAAACATTATTTATTTTTGTTTTCAGGGATATTACGATACCATGGATGCTGGCTACATGGATGAAGAAGGCTATGTGTATGTTATGTCTCGAATGGATGATGTAATAAATGTCGCAGGTCACAGAATTTCTGCAGGTGCCATTGAAGAGGTACTGATGAATATTGGTATTCTATTCCAAGTAGTGTTTAGACACAGAGCTGAACTGAAAACAATATTGAGGTTATTTCACTTGGAAAATACCACACCTTTCATTCGCCGCAGAGGCTAGGTTACTCTTGTATCTCTCTCACTGAATGTAAATTCTCTCTTTTAGATTTTCATATTTTCTACGCTCTCCCATCCCTGGGTGGTAGTGAAGAGTGTTAAACACTTACACATATTTGTTTTTTTATGGGAGAGCCTGTGTACATTTGCTACTTAATACTTGCTACTTGAATGCCTCTAGCTTCTTGATTTACTCGTGTTTAATCATCAGGTTTGCATACCGTCTTTAAGTGGTGTGGGATTTAAACATTTTATTGTACTTTTAAATCCTGAGAATTTTCTTCCAATGTAAGTCACATAAAGCCTCCAGAACAGGTTTCTACAAAAGTGTTTTAAAAACATACTCCTATGGAGTAAAGTCTACTTTATTGTCATACAATACTGTGCGTTTTTATACTTACCCAGTTTCTTGTAACCATCACCAGGGAAAGAGTACAAAACAATTTCAACACTGTCAAAGAATTCCCTCATAATGTCACCTTTGTATTCTGACTCTAGTAACCTTGTTTTTTCTCCATTTCTATGTTTTAGCCTTCTCTCCAATTTTATATAAATAGATTATACAGTACTGTAAACTTTGAGATTGGGTTACTTAATTTAGGAAAATACATTTTAGTTCCTTTCAAGTTGTTGCATTTATTAAGTATTTGCCTTGTTGTATTGCTGTGTAGAATTTCATTATGTGGGTGTACTAACAAGTTCATATGTTTGTTCATCCATTAAAGGACATATGGATTATTTCTAGTTTATAGCAATTATAAATAGGGCTGTTATACACATTTGAATATGAGTGTTTGTATAAAAATGTTTTTACTTCTCTCAGATAAATACCTGTAGTGGGTTTTCTGAGTTATATGTTATGTGTATGTTTAAGGTTATGAGAAACCACCAAAGTGTTTTCCCGTGTGACTGTGATATTTTACATAGGTACCAGTAGTATTTAAGAGTTCATAACATTTTCCTATTCTTTCTAGAACTTGATAGTGTCATTACTTTTTATTAAACCATTCTACTGGGTGAGTAATAGTTTCTCATTGTGCATTTGATTTGCATTTCCATAATAACCAATGATATTGAGCATCTTTTCACAAGCTTATTTGCCATCCATAAATCTTTTTTGATGAGATATCTGTTAAAATCTTCAGCTCATTTTCTTTTTTAATTTGTTTCTTTTTTATTGTTCAGTTTTGTAAATTCTTTATATATTCTGAATACAAGTTTTTTATCTGATATGCAGTGTGCAATTTTTTTTCTAGTTTCTGGATGATCTTTTTATTTTGTTAAAAGTTCCCATAAAAGAGAAAAATAAGTTTTCATTTTGATGAAGTCTAATTTATCACATTTTTCTTTTACAGATTATGATATTGGTATTGTATATAAAAACTCCTGACTGTCACAAAGATTTTGTCTTCTAAGAGTTCAATAGTTTTATGTTTTACAGTTTTATATTTATATTATTTAAATTTAAATTTGAGTTAATTTTTTTAATATAGTACAAGTGTAGTTTGATGAATAATTTTTTAGTGGATGCCAGTTGTTCTAGTTGAAAACACTGCCCTTTCTCCATTGAATTGCCTGTGCATCTTTGTCAAAAATCAGGTAATAATATTGGAGTGAGTCTATTTCTAGAATATCTTATCTATTTCATTGATCTATGTGTTTATATTATACCAATACTATACCGTCTTGACACTGTAGCTTTGTAGTATATCTCAGAGTTGAATAATATGAGTCCTCCACATCTGCTCTTCTTTTTCAGTCTTGTTGAAGCTATACTAGTTCCTTTATGTATTCCGTGTATATATTAGAATAAGGTTTTCTATAGCTACAATGAACCCGTACATAAATATTGATTGATATTGTGTTAAAACCATATATTGATTGGAGAAAAATTGCTATTTCAAACTTACTGAGTTGAATCCACAAGTTTTGTATATTTCTTTCTTCAGGACTTCTTTGGTATGTTCCCTTAATACTTTGTACTTTTTAGCATACAGATTCTGAACAAGTTTTGCTACGTTTATACCTAAGTATTTAATTTTTTTAGCTATTGTAAATAGTATTTTTTAAAACTTTGGTTTCGAATTTTTCATTGCTAGTGGATAGAAATACTACCGACCTTTTCGTAGACTGATATGTAACCTATAATCTTGTTTAATTGGCTTGCTAGCTCTAGCAGTATTTTTGGTAGACTTGTTGAGACTTCCTATGTAAACAATTATGTGTCAATAAAAACAGTTGTATTACTTTCTTTCCAATCTGAATTTTTTTTTATGTCTTTTTCTTGCCTTTTGGAACTGGCTAGAACTTCGAGTATGATGTTGAATAAAACTGGTAAGAGTGGAATCCCTTGTCTTGTTCCTGATCTTAGGGTAAATGCAAGAATGGTGCTAATTGTAGGTATTTCTGTAAATATGCATTTTATCAAACTGAATAAATTGTTTTCTCTTTCTAATTTGCTGAAGTGTTATTTTTAATTATGAATTAAATTTGAATTTTATCAAATTTTTTCTGCCTTTATTGATAGAAACTTTTTTTTAACTCTGTTATATGAATTACATTAAATAATTTTCAGCTATTGAACCAGTCTTGCATTTCTGGGACAAACTTTACATGATTGAAATGAATTATTGTTTTTATACATTGATTGGTTTAATCAATAGTGATTTTCCTTATTCTGAAATCTACTGTTTGTGATCATCATATAGGCCTTCTCCTTTTTGAATCATATTTGAATCTTGATCTGTTTCCACTTTTTCATTTTTAATCTCTCTGTATTACGTTTCCTTTGGGTTTCTTGTAGACAGCATTGACTTAGATAATATGGTCAGTATATATTTGTTTTTATCCAGTCTGACAATCTCCATCATTTAACTAGTGTTTTCAGATGATTTGCATTTAATTATTGATATATATCTGTCTACCAGTTTATTATTTTCAATTATTCTCTTTTTCATTCTCTCATTTCATTCTCTCCTCTTTTCTCTTTTAAGTTCTTTTGGTTCATTTTTTGTAGCTTTTATTAATTTGCTGAGAACGTCTGTGATTCCATTCATGCCAAGAGATTCTGCCCATTCTTCTTGGGTCGTGTTTACTATTTGGTTTTTAATATTCATCTTTGTTAACTTTATCCTGAATGTGAAAATGAGGTGTTTGGGTCAAAGACAGACTTTTTTGATAAGAGTGTCATTTCCCCTTTACCCTAGGTCTTATTATGACCCAATGGCAACTTTTCCTATATGAGTAGCCAGATTCTCCATAAATTAAGGGTAAAAAAATGATTTTTCTGGACTTATAAAAGGGAGCGAGGCAGTCATCCTTCCTAAAGGATCTTCTTAAAGACATAATGTCTTTTACCAAAACTCTAATTGTTTAATATGTAAGTAAAATAGCCCCAGGAGCTAGATAGCTCTGTGTGTCTCCATTTTTACAACCTGGAAATATTTCCAGCTCCTGGGAATTAATCTTTTCTAGCAGGTAAATACCTAAGAAGACAGTGAGCCAGTCTCCCCAGCTCCTTGGGAGTTTATTTTAGTCTGGACTATACACATTTGGCCTTGACAGGTAAATTAAAGTTTTATTATCGTTTAAGATCTGAGCAATTCATTAAGCAAATGACTATAGATCTAATTTTTCTGATGTTTGAAGAGACTCAGCAAGCTAGGGCTTTTTATAGGAGCACTGAGAAATCTAGAGTTTTATTTCTCCATAGTTGAAATAGCTAAGTTAAAATTTTTGATGACTCTAATATTTGGATAATCCTGGGTTTGGTATCTAGCGATTGTCATTTCTTAAAAAGATGTTTAGATTTTCCTGATAACTGTTATGTTTATTTTAGATCTTATCCCAAGTATTATTTTTTTATTGTACTTTAGGTTCTGGAGTACATGTGCAGATCATGCCGGATTGTTGCCTAGGTACACACATAGCAATGTGGTTTGCTGCCCCCATTCCCCCGTCACCTACATCTGGCATTTCTCCTAATATTATCCCTCCCAGACCTCCCCATACTCCTGCTGTCTCTCCCTTGGCACCCCCCAACAGACCCCAGTGTGTGATGCTCCCCTCCCTGTGTCCCTGTGTTCTCATTTTTCAACACCCACCTATGAGTGAGAACATGCGGTGTTTGATTTTCTGTTCTTGTGTCAGTTTGCTGAGAATGAGGGTTTCCAGATTCATCCTACAACATAAGAGTCTGGATCCTATTTAAACCCTTAGGAGTTTTGTTCTTGTGGCTATTTATTTTAGGAAGTAGGCAGCAGAGTTAGGATGAGACTACATAGCCTTACCCACTTTCTATGGATTGTGGTTTCACTGTCAATTTAGTTTTCAAAGCTTTTGTCTATTTGGATATTCTGCATATACGATCATGTTGTTTGTGAACAAATACAGTTTGATATCTTCTTTCTCAATCTGTATACCTTTTACCTTACTTTCTTATTGTAGCAGCTAGTATGATGTTTTCTTTCTTGTTTTGTTGCAGTAGCCAATATGATGTTGAAAATTTAGTTGCGAGAGGAGACAATATAAGCAAAATAAATGACAACAGTGATGCCAGGGCTAGAAGACAGGAATTAGGAATGTTTTGGTATAAGGTACTTGCTCTATCTATGAAGTGTTATTCGAGTGTGGACGTTTTTTGTTCTTCTTAGTTGTTGAATGAAGTGGTCTATTGAAGTCATTTGTGTTCAGGTGATTGATGATACTGTTGAACTCAACTATTTCTTTACTATGTGCCCAGTAGATATGTCAAATTTGAACAGAGGGGCATCAAAGTCTTGAATCAAATAATATTTGATTCATCTATTTCTCCTTCCAGTTCTATCAGTTTTTGCCTGATATACTTTGATGCTCTAAGGATTTTCATGCCTTTTTGGGTTATTGACTTCTTCATTATTGTGTAATGCTCTTTATCCTTGATAAATGTTCTTGCTCTGAAGTTTGCTGTGCTTGAAATTAACATAGCTACTTCTCCTTATAAAATGAGCATGGCATCACTTTCTCTTTCCCTTTACTTTTAATCTATATGTATTTTTATATTTAAAATGAGTTTCTTTCAGACAACATACAATTGAGGCTTGATTTTTGATCCGTTTTCTGATAATCTGCCTTTTAATTGGTATATTTAGATCATTGATGTCAAGTGATCATTAATATAACTGAATTAATATTTACCATATTTGTTATTGTTTTCTGTTTGTTGCCCTTACTCTTTGTTTCTATTTCTGTCTTTCTTTTTCTACATTTTGTGGTTATAATTGAGCATTTTATATTATGTCATTTGCTCTCCTTTCTTAATATATTAAATATATTTTTTTAAAGTTGTTTCAGTGGTTGCCCTACTGTATGCAATATATGTTTACAACTAACCAAGTCCAGACTCAGATAATACTGTATTACTTCATAAGCAGAGCAAATACCTTATAATAACAAAATATTTCTAATTCCTACAGTCTGGCCCTTGCATCACTGCTGTCATTCACTTATTTATACAGAGCATATATGTATATGCATATACACACATTGTTGCTATTATTATTTTTAACAAACTTATCTGTAAGGTAAATTGATAACAAGAAAAATAAAGTTTTTTATTTTACTTTTGTTTATTCATTTCTAATGCACTTTCTTTATTTTTATACAAGTTTCTGACTTATTTTCCTTGTGTCTGAATAACTTAACATTTCTTGCAAAGCAGGTATACTGACAACACATTCCCTTAATGTTTGTTTGTATGAAAAAGTCTTTATTTTTCCTTAATTTTTGAAGGATAATTTTCTGCAGTATAGCAATCTAGAATTCTGTAATTCTAGAATTAATGGTATTTTTTCCCTCTTGATGCTTTGAATATTTCACTCCACTTTCTTCTTTTTTATGTGGTTCTTAAAGAGAAGTCACATGTGATCCTTATCTTTTCTTCTCTCTATAAATAGGTAAGGTGTTTCTGCCTCCACTCTGGCTTTCTGTAGAATTTTTTTCTTTATTTTAGAATGTTTTAATGAAAGGTTTAAAATGAGATTAAATTACACATTTTTCAAAAAAAAAGAATGTTTGAAATTTGAATATGATATGCCTACATGTAGGATTTTTTTTGTATTTGTCTTGATGTTTTCTGCAATTCTTAGATTTATGATTTTGTTTCAGCATTAATTTGCAGGACATTCTCAGTCATTATTTCTTCATATGTTGCTTCTGTTCTCGTTACTGCTATTATGTGTTCGTTACAGCTTTTGTACTTGCTCTGGTTCTTGGGTATTTTGTTCTGTTTGGCGATTTTTTTCCCATCTTTTTCTCTTTGATTCTTGGTTTTGGAGGTTTCTATTGATATAGCCTCAAGCTCCAAGTTTCTTCCTTCAGCCATGTCTAGTTTACAGTTTGGCTGAAGGAAGGAATAAGCCCGCCAAAGACATTCTTTATTTTTGATACAGTAATATTTATAGCATATTACAAATATTTTCTTAGAATTTCAATCTCTGCTTAGCTTACATTAATCATCTATTATTGCAAGTTGTCTACTTTTGTCCATTAACGTCCTTATCATATTATAGTTTTAAAAAAGATCATATTCAGATAATTTCAATATTCCTGCCATATGAAACTGTTTCTAATGCTTATTTAGTGTTTTCAAACTGTGTGTGTGTGGGGCGGGGGGTTTGTTGTTTCGGATTTTTTTTTTTTTTTTTTTTTTTTTTTTTGCCTTTTAGTGAGCCTTGTAATAGTTTGTTGAAATACTGAGATAATGTACCATGTAAAAAGAACTTCAGTATATAGGCTTTTATTGATATAGTGGTAAGATGTGGGGAGAGGAAAAGTATTCTGTAGTCCTATGATTACATGTCAGTTTTTTGATGAACATGTATCCCTAGACTGAACTTCATCAGTTTTTGTAGATATTTTTCCTTCTTGGTTAAAATAGGTTGAATAAAGGGGGCTGGAATTGGATCTTTCTTTTCTCCTATGTCAATTAGGCTCTGAGAAAACTGTAGTAGTTAGGTTCTGTTATAGAATAGTTTCTTTAAAGTATAGACCCTATAAAGAGGAACACAGTGTTTCGTCATACAGCTCAGGTTTTCCAACCTTGGCACTTGTTCCTGTAGATGTTTCTGCTCCAATAAATTGTGTTTTCTTGTATTTACTCTCCAGTTTTGGGGTCAGTGGTTTTCCCTGTAAACTTACTCTCTGACAAATCTAAGAAAAACTGTTTTTTTTTTTTTCCCCAGTTTGTATAACTTTCTACTTGTTAAAATGCAGTGGTGAATTCTAAGCTTCTTACCTGTAGTACTAAAACCAGAGGTCCCTCTTCCCTTTTTGGTTCATAAAACTCTCCTTTGCTGTTGTGGGTAGGGAGTCAGGGCTTTGCCTCCCAACAGTTACTAGGATTATTCCAGCAAAGTCTACAGGCACACTGTCTCTGGGGAGAGTAAGAGGTTTCGTCTATTTGCTGGAAGTTACCTAGCACATGGCAGGGTAAGTCAACAGAGAGCCCTCTCAGGAACATCATAGCTGCTGATGCAGAGAGCAAGTGGCATTGGTCCTTTCTGTGTTCTCTTGTATAGGGTAGAAGAGTACACAGGGCTCCATCCTGCAGGATATGTTATACAGCTTGTGTGGAAAAGGGAAGGGGAACACCTTCATTGCTGACATTTACTTGGTATAAGGTGTGGAGAGTTAACAAATTTCCTACAGCTCTGTAGAGAGGGGGTGGGCCCTGCCAACAAAGGTTGGCACTCATCTCAAGTCAGGAGGGCAAAACCTGTTTCACGGCTCCCCTATTCCTTTACCTGGGCCTCTGACCAGACACAGCAGGCTCTTAGGGCTTTTTCTGTCTGTACTCATTGTCAGTTACACATTTTGAGCTGCTTTAGCCTTTGGGCCAGATTATACAGAAAGTAGAATAAATGAACAACAACAACAAAATAACAAAATCCCCAAACTCCCAAACAAATCACAGTGACTTCATCACCAAGTTGTATCTCAAGTTCTGATAGTTCTGATAGAGTCTTCTAATATATATTTTATCCCAGAGTTCTTCATTCTAACTGTGGGAGAGATGTTACTTCATTTTTTTTCTCTAGAAGCAGATCCCAGAATAGTTTTTAAGCAGCTGAATGGAGTAAAGAAACAACAGTTTAAATAAAAGAAAATATTTAAAGTAACATGATTAATAATTCATGGTGATCAGAGTATGCAGAGTCAAAGGTTTATTTCCTCTTTCTCTAATTAAAGGAGAATCATAAAAAATAACTATTGGGTACTAGGCTTACTTAGTACCTGGGTGATGAAATAATCTGGACAACAGACCCCTGTGACATGAGTTTATTTATATAACAAACCTGCTTATGTACCCCTGCACCCAAAATAAAAGTTATAAAAATTAGAAATAAAAAAAGGTTGTACCTATCTTCAATTCAAACATAACAGCTTAATGCTTCTTGTCATGTTGGCATGCATTTTTTAAATGTGATTTTTTGAGTAAAAGGAATTTTATCAAATATTTTAGAACATATGACCTTTGTGTGCTATGATAAGGTTACCTTGTTTTTAAACAACTCTGAATTTTGTGATAACCTGAAGTTGAAATTTTTGCTTCACGTCTTTTGGTATGTTGGCAAAAGATGGTTCTAGTTGCATGAACTTTTAATTTCTTCCTTCTAAGAGATTAATTCCAATATTTACCTGCATTTCCAGCAGACTAAGCCCATCAAAATATGAAGATTATGTATACATAGCTCTTATTATTCGTCAAAACCTTATTTTTTTATTTTTAGAATGAAAAGAGGAGGGTCAGCCTATTCAAATATATGCTGTGCTTCAGTGCCTCTACTGAAATCCATCTCATTGCATGTAACAGCGGAGTAAGACAGGCAGAAGATAAGCAGTTAAAATGGAAAAAGAGAAAAACATGCTGGAATTATTGGCATCTAACAGAAACTTTGTCACTGGGTCTTGGAGTATTTAGGGTGCATAACAGGGCACCACTCAGACCTTAACTCCAAGTCAACTTGTCTCTCTATATGCATTAAATGACTAAGTTTTTATTAAATATTTAGATTTAATAAGAAAATTTTATCTCAATTTAAATCATATTTGTCTTCTCTGACTGTGCAATCTCTTAATGAATTGTGAACTGACACTTTATATTGACATTTTACAAGCTCCTAGCAAAATTGCTTAGCAAATTGATTATTTCCTTCTGAAATGTTTGATGATATACCCAGCTCTTATTAAAATGCCCAAACCTTACTATCTCACTACTTGTCAAGGGTTCCCAGTGGCAAATATCATATTCAGTTTTAATTATTTGGAATAGGAACTGAGGGCCTCAATCCATTGTAAGTTTTATTGTAGAAAAAAATAGACTGCATACTGTTGTTATGTGCAGTGAAAATATCTACACTTTTTTCCAGTTTCTCTAAGTAAACATTTTGTGAGTGGTTGTTAGAAAGACAAAAAAGTATATAAGTTATTGTTAAAAAGTCATTCATGCTTGCAGGGATGTAGAGAAAAGAAAACTTACATACTGTTGGTAGGAATGTAAATTAGTACAGCCATTATGGAAAATAGTATGGACTTTTTCAATAAACTAAAAGTAGAACTACCATAAGGTTTTATAATCCCACTACTGGGTATTTATACAAAGAAAAAGAAATTAGCATATTGAAGGGCTATCTTTACCCCATGTTTATTGCAGCACTGTTCAAATAGCAAAAAAATGGAATCAACCTAAGTGTCCATCAACAGATGAATGAAGAAAGAAAATATGGTAAATGTTCACAAAAAATAATACTTGGCCAAAACATAATGAAATCCTGCCATTTGCAACTATTTGGATAGAACTAGATTTCATTATGTTAAGTGAAAGAAGCCAGGCACAGAACGACAATATTATCTATCCTCACTTACGTATGTGAGCTGGAATAGTTGATGTTACAGAAACAGAGAGTAGAATAATACCAGAGGCTGAGAAGGTTGTGCGCATGTCAAGTAGTGGAGGAACATGCAAAAAGATTGGTTAATGGCTAAAAATATACAGTTAGAAGGAATAAGTTCTACTATTCAGTAGCAAAGTAGGGTGACTATAGGTAATAAAAATGTGTAGTTCAAAATAGCTAGAAATTAGGACTTGAAATGTTTTCAACATATAGAAATGATAATTCCTCTAAGTGATGGATACCTTAAACACCCTGAATTAATCATTACATACACTATGCACATAACAAAATTACATGTACCTTATAAATATGTAGAAATATTTGTACCAATAAATTCTTTAGGAAAAGAATTTAAAGTATAACAAAACCAAAAAATGTAAGCCTATTACCTAAATCAAGCACGTATTCTATTAAAATTATTACATCAAAAATATTTCAGGAAACCCTGTGTTCTTTTCTATTCTCATCATAAGAAAATGGAGCCCTAGAATAGCTTTTATCAACTTAAGAAGACAGTATTCTTGCAGATCCAGTAAAAATGAGGATCTTTTTCAACTATTAAGTAATAATCAAGTTTATTTTGAGTTGATTAATTTTTGAAAACCAAGCATCCAGCTAAACATTTAGGAAACTTTGGTGGAAGCTAAGGAGTTCATAGAAAAATTGTTTCAAACATCTGCTAGTTCTGGACTTGTAAGCTAAAATTTGCAGGAGCTAATATGGTGGTTTTTGCTCAGTTCTCTTTGACTGCTGTGGCTTTTCATGCAAAGAAATCAGGGATTTTCATGCTAGGATATGTACAGAAAACATATTGGGCTCTCTAATTTCACTCTTTCACTTGTAGCTTAAGTTTCAGTTTGTTAAATAATCCCACTAATATTCGTAGGAACTTGGAAATCGAGAGAGAGAGACAAATTTTAAAGTCTACCTGGGATGCTGTTCAAATACCATTTGCTGTTCAAAAGAACATGGGGTTTCCTGAATTATTTTTGAAGGTTGTTATGACCAAAGTGTTACTGTTTGTTTTCCAAGTTAGCTCTTTTGTTTGCTATTTTAGGAATGATTTTTTAACGTTGAACATATTTCCATAAAGTGACTATCCAACTAAGATGCCTTGCGTTTCAGTTCCACACTGCATTAAATGACTATCAGATTTAAGTAGTTGCAATATTGCTGAATATCTCCTGAGTACTCATAGGAATATTAATGAGTATCTGGAATCTCTCTGACAAGTTTCCTACATTACTCCAATGTCAGGAAATTTTTTAAAATCTCTCTTCTTCCTATTGCATAGACAATATCCCATTGCAAACTGGCTCCTCCCATCTTATGAAGGTGTTTGATTTGAACTAATTTTTAAAATTAAGATTCTTAAAAACGTAGTTGAGAAACCTGTGTAGGTCAGCTCAGTGAAGCCTTGAAATATTTTAAATTCATTAAAATCTATGCAAAATTGGCAATATCTTAGAAATAACAGATGACAGGAAGTTACTAGTTCAATGTCATAACATTTATATACTCTCTCTTGTGGTGAGACTTTTTTAGGTACTTAAACACCAGTTAATCACAGATGCTGCATAGATTTTATTTGGAGGGAATGCATGAATCTGGATTTTGATATTTTTCCCCCCATAGGACATTTGGTTGGCTTCTGTCCCTGGAATGTTGCCAAGACATATTTTGACACTTTCACTTTTAATGATTCATTTGTTGAAATCGTCACTTGGCATGCAAATATTATTTGTGGGGCCAACATGAAAAGCTGCCACTCTTCCTTTATGGCATTTTAAAATCTGATAGATGAATAATGTTTTATCCACTATAATAATGAACTTCACTTAAATATGACACAGAATTCTTGAAAATGATCTTGTTCCTCACAATTTTTAAGAATTTATCTGCAGTAGACAAAAATAGGAAAGTCTAATATTATATTACAAAAATGTTGTTATATTATTTCTTCTGATTTTTAAAATACTCCCTGCTTTTACAGAAAAACAGTCAACATTTTCTCATTCACTTCTAAAAGCGCTAAGACTAAGGACAGAAACTTAGTAAAACTTAACAAAATGAAAGGGTGGCAAACTAGAAGTTTTGACATTAAAGTTAGTTAAAACTGACATTAAAGTTAGTTATTGGTTAGGTGACAAAATATATGGATGATGGATTTTTATATCAGTGGTTTGAACAGATACCTTGGCATTTTAGGAACTCAGGTACAGAGTCATGGCACCAATGAACACTAATAATTTTTTTTTGACAATTAAACCTCTGGTTAGCCAGGAAAAATAGACATTCTTTACTCACTAAACGAATGCCTTGTCAGAATTCATGTGACCTAACCTTCCAAGTCTATATCCTATCTGATACAGGTAAAGTATTACTTTTTATTACTAATGACTGACTGTAGTAACTACTAAAACATATATCTGGCAGTAAAATTTGTCTCTCTGATCTCTCTATATGGATCTTAAAAGTAAAAATGGCTAACAAATGAGCTGTTGGGAGCATTTTAAGAGTTTATATAGAAGCAATGGAAGAATATGGTGTTGTATAGTCTGTTCAGTATGTATTTAGCAGAAGCTTTTAGTTAGGCTCAACTAATGGAAAGGGTGTGTGAACATTTTTGCCTAAGCAAATCCTATAAAAGTTAACAAAGCATATCTTACAAAAATCATTTATTTAACATCTGCTATACTTGGCACCGCATGAATCAAAAACTGCGTGGACAAAAACCTTTACAAGCCAATTCTTCAAACAGGATGCTTACAATATGAGATAGAAGCAATAATGGGTCCAAAGTAAGTTATTACACTGACTTTGTACCAAACATTCCAGCAGTTCATCAAGTCTTCCAGTTTAGAGAAGAGAATACTTATTTTCAATTTGGCCTAATTAGAAAAAACAATTATTTATGGAAAGTTTGGGACTTAAAAATGGCATCTACTACCAGATCATGCTGAGTCTTTTTTCTACCTCTCTGGCTGTGTTTGTTTGTTTACTTTTCCAGCTTCTCCTTTTTCATGTGCCCATTACATGTTAGAGTTCTGTAAGACCTTCACTCTTTTCTTCTTCTTACTTTCTCCTGAAATAAGTTTGCCAAAGTCTATGACTTCTATTAGTATCTGTACATTAATGGCATCTCAATATGCATCTGCAGATTAAGCCTCTCCTCAGATTCTGGTGTACAACTGCCTTTACTCTGATGTCTCAACAGCACCACAAAAAAACAACAACTACAAGACTGAATATGTGATCCTTCTAAGCCTTCTCCTCATTAGCAATTTCTGGCTTAAAAATGATGCCAACATCCAACCAGATGCTCAAGTCAAAAACCACAGAATCATCCTTAACTCTCTGTCTTACTCATGTTCCATATTCAATGTATCATCAAATTCTGTCCGTTTTAATGGTAAAGAAATTCTAGTCTTTATTATTACTATCATGACCTTAGTCTACTGTAGTGTCTTTTCAGGTGGTTTTCCTATGTAAACTGTGACACCCACCCTCAACAATTCTTTATTTTCCATGATGATACTAAGACAAGTATCCACTTTGAAGTAAAAGAAGCTAATCTGGAAAGGCTACATACTGAACTATTCCAATTATATGACATGCTGGAAAAGGACCTTGAAGACAGTATAAAGATTAGTGGTTGCCATGGGTTAGGGGAAAGGGAGGGATGAGTGAGCAGAGAACAGGGAGTATTTAGGTCAGTAAAACTATTCTGAATGACACTGTAATGGTGGATACCTGTCTTATACATTTGACAAAACCTATACATGTACAAGAGTGGACCATAATGTAGTAATGTAAACTATGGACTAGGGTGATGATGGTGTGCTAATGTTGGTTCATCAGTTGAAACAAATAAATCGCTTTGGTACAAAATTTTGATAATGGAGGCTGTGTATATGTAGTGGTAAAGTGCATATAAGAATCCTACTTTCTTGTTTGATTTTGCTATGAATCTAAAACTAATTTAAAAAACACAGCTGGGTGTGGTGGCTTATGCCTGTAATCCCAGCACTTTGGGAGGTTGAAGCAGGTAGATTGCTTGAGCCCAGGAGTTTAAGACCAGCCTAGGCAACATGGCAAAACCCCATCTCTACAAAAAATTAGCCAGACGTGATGGTGTGCACTTGTAGAATCAGCTACTCAGGAAGCTAAGGTGGGAGGATCATCTGAGCCTGGGAGGTTGAGGCTATAGTGCACTATAATCAATGCCAGTGCACTCTAGCCTGGGTGACAGAGTGAGATCCTATCTCAAAGAAGCAAACAAAAAACCTCAATATTAAATCTACTCTGATCTTACATCTTCTCCTCACTACTGAAAATGCTTTATTGCCTTTTAAGAGCTGCTAAAATGAGTTGGAAGTTGCTAGCACAGTACTTATCCACCTCCGTTAGCACCGTATCCTCCATTCTCACTCTTTTTGTGCTCTGTTTTCCAGCCACACTGGTCCTTTTGAGGTATCAATGGTTACTGTGCAGTCAGTCCTTCCCTAGGGCTTTTGACCCATCCCCTTCTCCTTGCCTAATAAATATCTACTCATCCTTCAGATCTGCTCATTGTTATTTCCTAAGGAAAAAGTTCTTTGAGGCCTGTATCTTTCTGCCAAATTGATTGCTATTGCTGTGTCTTTCATATATATATATGAAAGATATATATATGAAAGATATGTATGAATATATATGAGATATATATATATATGAAAGACACACATATGTATAAATACATATATATATGAAAGACACAGCAATAGCAATCAATATATATAATTATTCCCCAGAGCTCTTACCACTTTTATTTATATTTAGACATTTAGAATTATTAGATATTCATAATTATTTATTAACATCTGTCTCCACTACTAGACTGTAAGCATCTTGAAGCAATATGCTGACTGTTTTTGATCACCCCTGAGACCAGTGAGTGATTGCAACACAGGAGGCATTTAGCAAATATTTATGGAATGAATGAATGAATGAATGAATAGAAGAAAGAATAAGGACTGCCAGATGTACTGTTGGTTACAAGTTTGCTTACTGTTCTATCTAGCTATTAGAGCTTTGGAGTCACTGAAATATTAGTATTTTAGAAAACATTCAGAACATGCATTTTAAAAAGTCTCATCACCATGTATATATATGTATATATGTATGTATGTATATATGGTCTTAATACTGGCTGTCATAAGCATACCTTCCAGAGGAATCCAAGGCTGCCCTATGGCTAATCATTTTATTTCTGAGTCTATTGTATATGGTGTGTGTGTGTATGTGTGTATATATATATATATATATATATATATATATATGGTGACAGGACTTTTAAAAATGCACATATATATACATACATATTCATATATACACATATACATATATATGCATATGTGTATATATGGTGAAACTTTTTAAAATGCATGTATATGTACATACATGTATCTATCCATATGTGTATACACACACATATCTCTCCACACATAAACACACACACACACACACACACACAGATACATATATATATATCCCTAAGCATCTGCATTTAATGTGGTTAGTCAACACTTGTGATTTCAGATAGATGCCAGTCTTGTGAACTTAAGCAATATAAGTATAGTTCTTCAACAGTGGGGATTATCTGATGTCGAGGCCTTTCTCCATATCCAGCCTCTTTCAAGTCCTGAAAAATCATCTCTGAATGGATGGCCACTAAAGAAATTTCATTGTTTACTAACAGACTCAGAAATAAAATTATTCGTTAGCCATAAGGCAGCCTTGGATTCCTCTGGAAGGTATGCTTATGGCAGGCAGCATTAAGACCAAATCACCATGAGGCTGCCTGTTTGCAGAGGTTTGTTTACACCTGGTATCTACTATACATTTTCTCTGACTTCATTAATAAACAATTGAGACAAACCATTTCCTTACTTTCTGGGTAAGCTAAGCAAGTTATCTTAATTACTGTCAACCTTTAGTGACTACCATGGGGATTCTAACCATTCACTTCAGTAGTTATTATACAAATTACTTATGAATTTTAAATAGGCAGCCATGGATTTTTGGGTTCTCTTACATGTACCTTTTTTCCCAGATGAAATTATGTGTTTGTATATCTATAGCTATATGGTAGATGTATATATATAGAAATATGTATATTCTAAATGAATGCCTTTCCTTGTTACAGTCAATCCTTTCCCATGGCACCGTGACAGACTGTGCTGTTGTTGGCAAGGAAGACCCTTTAAAAGGTCATGTCCCCTTAGCACTCTGTGTGTTGAGAAAAGGTGAGAGATCTTTGCCCTTCTTGAATGCTTGGGCCCAGAATAATGGTTAATTCAGTGCTTACCATCTGAACTTTCTTTCTAGATATAAATGCAACAGAGGAGCAAGTTTTGGAAGAAATTGTGAAACATGTTAGACAGAGCATTGGCCCTGTGGCTGCTTTTCGAAATGCAGTGTTTGTCAAGCAGCTACCCAAAACCAGATCTGGCAAAATCCCTCGATCAGCTTTATCTGCCGTTGTCAATCGCAAGCCATACAAGGTAATTTATCAAAGATATTTAATCTTGGATTGTAAAACATTTTTCTTCATTTCTTTGGCATAAGCAAAGCTCTTAAAAATGGTTCTCAAATATAAATTACATACCTAGAAAACACATAATAATACCATTTTTTTAATGTTAAGGGAGAAATTATATAGCCATTCCTTCTGTAGGGATGACGGTTTTGAAAAGAAACTCAGATTAGTTAAGAACATATGCTTTGATATCAGAACCAACGTGTGAAAATTTTTTTTAAATTTATTTTTATTTAGAGACAGAGTCTTGCTCTATCACCCGGGCTGTAGTGCAGTGGCATAATCACCAGAGCTGCAGCTAAAGGAATCCTCCCACATTAGTCTCACAAGTAGTTGGGGCTACAGATGCATGCCACTGTGCCTGGCTAATTTTTTTATTTTGTATTTGTAGAGGTAGTGTTCTGTCTATGTTGCCCATGGTGGTCTTGAACTCCTGGGCTCAAGTGATTTGACTGCCTCAACCTCCCAAAGTTCTGGGATTACAGGCCTGAACCACTGCTGCCTGTCAAAATATTTTTGCTCTTAGTAATTGTCAGTTAAATTCAAACGAATTTGTGGAAATTCAATCCTATTGAATTACAAGGTCCATTTTCCTTATTATAGTAATTAATGGCAATTAGTGAATGAGAAAGGAAAATAATTGAGGCTGGCAGCAGTAGATGTTTAAAATGTTCTAATTGATAAATGCTAATTTTGTAATTATTTTTGACATTATTTTAGGAAATCTTAGGCTGATTCAAGCATATGTTTTCTTTCAATTTTAACATTATGTATGCAAAGATATACCTATTTTTATCATTAATATAATAAAAGACAATGCAATAGTAAGGAGTAGTTATGTGAACAAATGCCAAAAAAGAAAAATTTTTTCTATAGAAACACATAGAAGACTCTTAAGAAGAACTCTAACTCTAGAGAAAATAACATCGAGGTCCAATAGTTTTTTGCTAATTAAACTGTTTATTTTTTTTTTATTCTGGAAAACTATAGATAAATATTAATATATTAGGCTCAAAGTTCTCTATTTTTAAACTTTTCCATATGAATATTACAAAACAATGGGGAAAACAGCATTGCATGTAATTGTTTAATTATAGAAAAAGCAGAAGAAATTTAAGGAAGAGTATTCACCTGACCCTATTTTTTTCCCCAGATAACCTCTTCAATTGAAGACCCCAGCATTTTTGGCCACGTAGAAGAAATACTGAAGCAAATATCATGAGTTTGTTTTATTTCTATGTTGAGTCAATTTCAGTTAATTTTTTAATTGTAATTAAAATATTTGAGTTGTTTCTCAGCAATAAATATTTCAGTAGAAATTACTTGCAAACTGAAATGTGAATTGTAAAACTTGGCCTAAACAAATCTAAAGAAAACTTGTGAAAGACCTGTGCCTTCTGTTTGATGGGACCCTGTTAGCATTGTTAATAGTTGCTTATAAGATGGTTCATTATATGTAATCGGCTGCTTTAGAAAAAATGTATCTAGTGTATTATTTTTAAAATTGCACCCCACAAGTAAAACACTTTAATTGAAAGCAACACCAATATAGAGCCACTTCCTGAAACTAAGAATCTGTAGTTTTGATCCAAAATCTAAAACTTGAAGTCAGAAAATAACTAAAATTTTTCTTGTAGAAATTTTAGATATTTTCTAATATTCTTTAGATATTTTCTAATATTCTAGTTTTAAATAGATGAGAAGTTTAGGTAATCATCTAGACAGATGAAATTATTATCTAGGTAGGAGGACTTTTCTAGCTATTCATTTTCTGAGGGAAAGCTGAACACCAGGATTAGAGCTATACCTTTAGGTCATTTGTTACTTAGGCAAGGAAAACCACATATCTGACCTGGCATGGTGGCTCAGCTTGTAATCCCAGCACTTTGGGAGACTGAGGCAGGTGGATGACTTGAGGTCAGGAGTTCAAGACCATCCTGGCCAAAATGGTGAAACCCTGTAGCTACTGAAAATACAAAAATTAGCCAGGCGTGGTGGCAGGCTTCTGTAATCCAGCTACTTGGAAGGCTGAGGCAAGGAGAACTGCTTGAACTGCAGAGGTGGAGGTTGTGGTGAGCTGGTATCTGCCACTGCACTCCAGCCTGGGTAGAATGAGACTCCATCTCAAAACAACAACAAACCACCTGCCTGGCAGACAACCAAGATACCATTTAGTCCAATCTTTTCATGGAGATGAGGGCTCTAGGGAGTACCTCCTAATGTCTCAGGTTCTTAGTTGACTGTGCATTTCTGAACTATTCCAGATTCCTGTGGGAACAAGGAATCAATGTACAAATGTGGTGGAGTGGCAAGAAAAACTCTTAAGAAGGGAACATCAAGGTTTTTACATTAGGTTAAAGACCAAGAAGGTTTCCAGGCAGGCAGTGTAATGTCTAGGTGATTTTGAAGCGAACTTAAGCCACTAGGTTTGAGGGACAAAGGACCAAAGGACAAAAAATGTGAAGACGGCAGATCTCCTGCTCCACCTCAGGGAGCAGCAGCCCCAGAAAAATATGGCCCCAAAAAGAGGCAGGTCTCCTGCTGCAAGATCTTCTGTTTTGTTTTTTGTTTTTTTTCCCACTCTTGTTGCCCAGGCTGGAGTGCAATGGCGCAATCTTGGCTCACCACAAACTCTGCCTCTGTGGTTCAAGTGATTGAACCCCACTTGAATCACAGAGGTAATTCCGAGTAGCTGGGATTACAGGCATGAGTCATCACGCCTTGCTAATTCTGTATTTTATACAGACAGGGTTTCTCCATGTTGTTCAAGCTAGTCTTGAGCTTTCAACATCAGTTTATCCACCTGCCTCAGCATCCCAAAGTGCTGGGATTACAAGCATGAGCCACCATGCCTGGCTGAGCCTCTGGTTTTTAAGAGAGAACAAATAATCCTGATTTTTATGTAAAATCTCTAATTTTAAAATAATAACTCTTAAAAAATATTGCAATGTCCAAAAGTATCTTTGCATTTAAAGTCTAAAAATCTCTTAAATATTTATTTAAATAATTGAAAAGTTAGTTTTGTTAAGCTAATAGGAATGGGCCAGTTAACTAGAGTAGATGGATGTAGGAAATTAAATATTTGATTTACTTAGGGACCTATATGATATCAGTTCTCAAACAATACATTTTAACACAGAAGTATACTGTGCTCATTGTATCTTTGATCGTTCTTCAAGTATTTCTCAATCTTTTAGTCTATCAGGAACATTATTATCAAGAGCAATTATTATAGCATAATACTCTGGGTACATGAAATGTATGTGAGAGTTAAATAGATAATAGATGAAGGTTTATTGTTATAAAAATGATCAACTTATATAAAAACATTCTGAAAATGTTAACTTTTTTGGGACTAAAGTCTGCAAAATAAATAGCTTCTTAAAGCAAATGCCTATTAAATTGCCTTCTTGATTGTTACACCTGGAAAATATATTCAGATAATTTTTCCCTTTAATTACGTTAGTAGCCTGAATTAAAGCAACTAGATAGACACTCTGATTTGAAGCTGTTGAGCTCCTTGAATTGTCTCTTTCATTGGTACATTTTATCCATTGTCACAACTGTAGTCTTCATTAATAACTCGTTTTTAATGTCTTAGCAGTAGATTGTGTTTCCTTATTTTTTTTTCAAGTAAGAGTCAGTTAATTCAAAATGGCAAATTCTTTAGCTGAATGCGTGTCATTGTTCATTTGCAAAGTTTAATTTCAGGCAGATCCAAGAATTGTGTAAAGGTTGCATCTTTGGTCCTCTTGCACATTTTTTTCTGGTAATCAGATCTGAAGGGACACCTCAGCAAGCAGACTTGGGTTATTTTCCAGTTGGATGGGAATGGAAAACAGTGCTTGAGACTGGGTAAGTGGCTATTTTTTGTGTCTCACTGGGGAAATGCCTCTCCTTTGTAAGGTCAAAGAATGTTGTTACTTTTATGTGATGAAAAATTGGGCAAGAAAGGTACAGTTGAATCATCAGACTGCTTAAAATTTGGGAGGTAAAAAGCATTCTATTTTACTACTAACCATCAATCACTTTTGCTAGATAATACTTAAAATGTTCTGAATTAAATGTATCTTTAAAAACAATATGATGTTACTTAAAAAATGCAGTCATATGTAAACTTGTTGGAATAAATTCTGTGTGATCTTTGTTTGGTATTTTCATAGGATTTCTTACTATGAAAGAAATATCTTTCATATTTCATTTTTCCAATATCTTACCTGTGGTAAGATATTGGAAAAAAGAAAATATAAAGTACCTGTGGTAAGATATTGGAAAAATGAAAATATAAAGTACTTTCAAAAGTTATAGAAAAGTATTTTCCAATTCATTGAGTTACTTTGCTTGTGAAAATATATTAAACATATTTAAGTGAGACCTGTCCTTCATTTAAAGACCCGTTTCGTTTATATAAAAGTGTATTTGAAAGGTCCTGAACATTAAAAATGTGAGAATTTATAATGTTAATGATCAAAAGGTTACACGTTGAGATTCTGAGCTTAATCCATGAAATCAATTTTAGAATCTGGTAGAAATTATCTTATAAATTAAAGCATATTTTATGCTTTTTTGAGGGAAATAGCTGGATCTTTTGCATCACTATATGTTAGTATCTATTATAGATGATTAATCTTTTGACATGTTTAAAAGAAAGACATTGATTTTAGTGATTGAGTGGTGTATAATAGTAGATCCGAATCTAGTTATGGCATTATAATGTCATAGTTCCTATATTCTATTTCGTTTCTATGAATCAAGATGCCCATGTTTAGATGAGCTTAGAAAGCTCTTTCTCATTGTTCTGCTCAGGCCACATTTTTAGAAAAATTTAAGATCACTCCCATAAGCAAGTTTAGAACTCCCTCTTGTGGCGGACTCATTTTTGAAGCTAAATATTTGAATCACCCAAACAATTTTCCTGATAGTTTAAGTAAATTGTCGAGCCTTATGTGACTAGAAAACAAAGCTTAAACAGAGAACTGGAAGTATTTTTTTTTTTATTGACAATGGAAAGGGTTTCTGTTACCATTACCTTTTGACTGAATCTGTTAAACAAAAATAGACATCGAAACAAATGTAATGTACGTGCAAACATAGCAAATTAAAATACAAAAAAAGAAATTACTAATGACAGGTCTTGCGCTTAATAAGATCAAGCAGCAGAAAATCAGCAGTTAGATAAATGGTATTATTAAATAGGTTTTACTTTGAATCTCCCATATAAACAAAGAATAAACAACAGTAACACCACCAAATAAAGCCACAGGGAAAGAGATTACTCTTCTATGCTTCTATACACTATATATGTTAATCATTCTGTCTTTCGTTTATTTCCTCTGATAAACTGACTTCAGGGAAGTCGCAACAAGGCCATCTTGGCTGAAAGCTTATAACATTAGACATGAGTCTGGCTAATGCCCTGTTCCATTGACAAAAGGGAAGGGTTTCTTGGGTTTTGTTTTCTCCAGTGGAAATAAGCCTCAGACTCTGCGGTGGTTGACATTCGCTGTCCAGTACTGGCTGGCAGTTCAAGATATTTGAATGAACATGTGGTTCTAGCAAAGAAGTTTTTTTTTTTTTTCTTGGTCCACAGGTAATAAGAGAAGATAATGGTTTTTTAATATAAATTTTTAAATAATTGCTTTTGACCCTTGTAAACAGGTTGGCTTTGTTTTGTATTGAAAAGGAGATCGAGCCATCACAGTGCTATTTCTAAAGATATAGGACATCCCTGATTGCCTTTAAAGCTCTATTTTTTGGCTCCAGTTCCAGGTTAAATCATTCTTTTTTACATGATCAGAGGCAGGTTGTTCAGCTTTAAGTAAGTATTGACTGACAGACTTGAAGGAGAAACATGTTGAAGCATGTTCCATGCTTCAAGGAAACATTGATCTGACTGTTAATTCAAAAACTGTAAAAATGGTGGAATGGTAAAATACAAACAGTACTTAGAATTGTCAAATGTTTGTACTCGAGACTCCATGAACCATATATTTTATTTTTTAAAAAATCATATTTATATCCATTTACATAAGACTTACACATTTAAAAAGAAATGCACAGTAATACATAAATGCCTAGTATATTACAATAAAACATGAAAAACAAGTGGCTTCATTTCATAAAAGCATCTGTTGTACAGAGTTTATGATGTAGATGATGTTGATTATTCAAATGACTTAAGCATTTTATTACAATTGTAGTAAACTAATCAAATGTAACATCTGACCCCCAAAAATCACATTTTTTCAGCTTTTAATAAATCATGACATCATTAGTTTCTTAGAATTCAGTTTTCACAAAGATTTTCACTGCTCGTCTTCTTAGATGGTAGTGCACTTTAGGTAGAGTAGACTGAAAAGACGACATCTAAAATATACAATGGATAGCATTAGTTCACTGAAAAGTCCCAGACTGGGAAATCTCATTCTACTCCTCTGTGGGGTACCTCCATGCAGCCTGCTTATTCCTGTCCTAAAATGTCATGGGAAGGAAATCTTCTAGGATCTAGCCAACAGCTATATCTAATTAACATTTGCTCTTCTCCAATTTGGTTCAGGGGAGCCTAATAAATAATAAGATTTGCTCAACTTTGTGGAAAGTATGGCAGTAATGTAAACAAAGGTAGTTATGCAAATGTTAGCATGCCTTCTGAAAAATTTACAACTTGCTAATTAATAAATTAGGTTGAATTGACCTATTTCATAATATAGATTTATATTCTAGTTCATATATTTTAGAGTTCTTAAAAAGACACCTTTATTTGTGAACAAAAACAATGATAATAAGTCACCTATTTTAAAGGGTTTATGTCAGTAGTATGGCACTGCTGATTCTTTTCAGCCATAATATACTTAGAAAAAGCTCACAATGCTATTACTGACACAAAAGAAACAGCAAGTAGTCTGCTCTGAATTATTGTTTTACCAAAACAAAAATTATCCTAGATTTAATTATTGTAAATGAAAACTGTTATCCCAATTAATGTTAAAAAGTAGGAAATATGAACTAGAATGCCGTGCACAGAAAACAAATTGCAAATAGAGTAACTCTACCCATCAGTTAAGAGCTAAGAAGCAAGCACTATTGAATATATTAAATAGTCATTTGTAAATTAGTGAAGTGTTCAGTTCCTGAAGAAATTATAATGCTACATGTAGACTCTATTATAACCAGTATTTTGGGAGGCCTCTTATTTAGGCAAAGTATTCTACACTTTAAATCATGCCTATAATTAGATGCCAAATTCTATACTGTAATTAAAATTTTAATGTAAGGATTGTACATTCTGAAATTATATCTCTTATGTAGATGCTTTTTATTTTATCAGCTTCAAATATTGATCCAAACAAGGCAGCATATCTGCTCCCATCTTATGCCCAAAAGAGCAACAATAAACTGTGTGGAGCTTTTAGTTCAAGACAATGAAGAAACAGCGCAAGGCAAGCTGTTCCTCTGTCTATAACTGCTTTCTGTTATCCCTGTGCACACATTTGGTTCTAAATATTGCTCTTAAAAAGTATTTCCCAAAATATTCATTGAAAGTGGTAAAATATTTTGGTAAAGCATGGTTTTAGTTCAAAAAATTTATGAACATTTGACATTTATAAATCTAGGAAACCGCAGTTTTATTATTGTTTTCAATGAAATCTCATTTTTATATGGATTTTAAAGTAGCTTTCATTTATTACTATTTCCTTAAAATCAGATGCCTGGTGGTTATCCTCCATTCTTATAATTTCGTTTCTATAAGTCTCAAATACTTAAAATTCATAATTGTTTTCAGCAAGGGTAAATCAAATTGATAAGATACAATGTAATAGTTTTTTTCACAGTTTCTACTTTCTTTATTTTGAGACAGAGTCTTGCTCTGTCACCCAAGCTGGACTGCAGGGGCACAATCTCCACTCACTGCAACTTCTGCCTCCCAAGTAGCTGGAATTATGGGAGTGCTCTATCATGCCCAGCTAATTTTTGTATTTGTAGTAGAGATGAGGTTTCACTATATTGGCCAGGCTGGTCTGCAACTCCTGACCTGAAGTGATCTACCTGCCTCAGCAAGTTTCTACTTTTAATATAAAATCATCTCTAAATCATTTTCCTGTTTGTTGCTATTTGACTCTGTGAACTTGCTTAAATCCCTATCTGCCTACCTTGGTTTTCTTACATAAAATATACACTTAAAACGATAGGGTTTTTTAAAGTGCTGAATTAATAAAATGCTATGCGAATCAATATAAAATGGCAGTAAAAAGTAGAAAACAGTGTAGTGGTAACCCACTAACGTGTTAGGCCTTCATCAGGCAGACCTTAAACCATAGCAGACAGATGGTGATAGGAAATATCAGACTAAGAGTTAAAATACAAAGATTTCTTTTCCCCCTGAAGCAATTCAAGAGTTATCT